CTGTATGGGATTATCTCAAATTCATGACCCGCATGCAGCTCAGTGATACAGTCTCATACATATTTATTTATTTATTTATTTATTTATTTATTTATTTATTTATTTATTTATTTATTTATTTATTCAAGACAAATGTTATGTGTCTAAAATTATCAAAAGTTTTTCGGTGCCCTGTATCTTGACATGATACAGTATATGCTTAAAAATATATGCCTTTACCAAAACACCTAGAAAACCTTTCATTCACCGTTTCACAGACTTCTACAGTCAATAAGCTGAAGTCAGCACATTAAAACTGTTTATGAAAAAGTGCCCAGGAATTTTAAAACTGTTTGAACAAATTCTAACATTTTAATGCTACATAATCGCACAAATATGAATACGACCTCTGATAATATTGTTTGCTTATGAGGCCCTGCAGTACTCGTCACAAGATGGTTGCTGGTTTTAATGAAGAGCGTTTCAATGGGGAAACTGCACTTTCTTCATCTGCATGTATGTGTCTTCTACCTTCCTCACACAGAAAGAAAAACATACATTTTAGGTTAATTGGGATCTTATACATGGGGTTGTCTCTGTGCCGACGTCACCCAAAATCTCTATGAATGAGTACAGAAAAAAGAAGTCTTATATGACTGTTTTTATTAATTAAAAAACTGAGACAAAATTATGAAAAAGTTTTTTCTTGTTTTATTTAGATATTCTTTAGACTTAAAAGATGCTTTTGTGCTTAAAATGAAACTGAAGAGCAATAAATGTAATGGTTTAAGAGCTATCCCTTCTAATTGTTGAAACATAATTAATATTCTGTGTTTAATAATTAAAAGCATCAGTGCCTTCCTAATTATATGCTAATGTCTTTGCAGTGTGCATTTATGAACTGCTCTTTAAGCCATCCCAGATAAAGTAATGTGTTTACAGTTAACACACTGTTGAGAAAGTGTGTTAACTGTACTTTCTCAATATTACAATTGTGGAAAATAACAGAGTTGTGTGTCAGCTTTACCCTGCATTGGCCTTTTGACCTCTCTAAGGTCTATTAGTGTATTTTCCATTAGAGAGAGAAGGTCTCTAATAGATTAATTTGAGCCTTTTTATTCATTACAGATTCTCTGTGCACTTTTTTCAACCACTGAGTGATATCTTGGAGGGCAAGAAATGACGGCTGAGTCTTCAAAATCACTTACAGGTTTGTCGAAGTCAATTTAATCCATTGAAAGGATGACATACAGAGAGCACATTGATCGACATCTCCGCAGGGTGCGCTCTTTGTAGTCAGTAACTTAGAGCAAAGCCAAGAAATTTAAAAACATTCTCAGGACAAATGGTAAATGCCTGTTTTGCTCTTCTTTGTCCTGATTTCAAAATTGCATTTTGTATGTGTTACTGTTATGCACTGTAACAGTGATTTATTTATTTAACAGAACAAATTTTTCACCTTATGGGCTAATTTTCTGAATTCTTCTCATAGATTCTGATGAATAATGGGAGAGTTAAAAAATAGTTTAACCATGTCAACATCCTCTTACTACTGAACAAATGTTAGCTTTGCCCTAAATAAGAAATGTCTTGTGAAGTATTCAGGAGGCCAAAGTGTTAAAGTTCTTCTAAGCTGTCGAACTAACAAGCTCCTTAAGCCTACAAGACAAAACACAGCTGAATTTCCCCTGCAACATAATACACCTGAACACTTGTGATGTCAAACTTGCGACTTGTACAGTGCAGTGCAAGTCCAACAGGAAGCAGAGAGGCCATTGATGAAATATAATCCCTGGATCTGAAGGTGTCATCTGGCTCCACGCGCTTCGGCAGCAGACACATAGACGGCCCATGGCGTGAGGGTCGTACTGTAAAAGATGTCCGGCAGACACATTGGCAGCAAGAGAGACGCAAATCGATTCCCATTGAGATAGCATGGAGTGCCTTAGTGGAGGACGGCCTCTTTAGCAAAGCTCTTATTAATTAATAGTGTCTCAGGAGAGGATCACATGATCCTATTCCTGCTTCTTCATCACAGCACAGCAGCTAATGATATCTGAGGGAGCTCTCCAGTGCAACACACTTCCAGCCTGCCTTGCATGTGATCATTACAGCAGCGTTTGCAACATTAGAACAGCATCCTCCTCCCTGTGTCATGAGAGTCATACGATGAGGACAGTGTTACGCTTTCCTATTTATGCCGGGAGACAAGGGATGGAATATTTCAGTCAGTTTATATGTCACAGATATCAAGCACTAACCACCGCATCCATCACACAGAATGGATAGAACCTGTTGTCACCAGCACAAAACTCTCAGTAGTGGTACATAATTATATGAAATAAGCTAATATGTCACAATAGGGGCCCACACCACAACATCTCCATGTGTTGTTCTTTAAAATCAGAATAATAAAACCCTTCAATTAAATCAAGCAGTCACATACAATGGATTGATGAATGCATTGTCTTTATGTTGATACATGACAGCACTGATCACAATCCAATAACATCAACATTAGATCTGCTTACAAGTTTTAGTTTCACTCTACAAATTCTTACTAGAGAACCCAAATGCTATACATCTGACAATGTACACATTTTTGCGTCTTGCTCGTAAGAAATTATTTAAAAAGTGTGGTCGCCACTGTTTTTTATTTATTTTTTTTTTTTTTTTTTTTGTTTTCCCAACAGTCAGAACAAAGACAGATGTTTATCTAGCAGCTTATATTGGGAGGGCAGAAACATATTGCAGCTTTATCTCTGATTGATGCGATCATACTAGGTCACTATAAGTGTCCAATAAAGTCTGTGTGCTGTTAGAGATGCCTCTGCTCTTTCCTGTTTCGTTAAAAGATACATCTTCTGAGCATCTCTCAGAAGATGTTCTGAGAGATAAGATAAGTCGTAACTACGTTTTATCTAAATAAAGCTACACATCGTAAAACTTTTTGTCATCATGAATATCACACTTTTGTCACTTCGAGTGCTTTTCACTGTCTGCATTTATGGGGAATGTAAAAGAGCAAAAGTCTCTGTGCAGCAGAGCACCTTAAAATTAATACAGCATGAAAAGGTCATTGCATGCCGTATCTATTAACTGTTGTGACCATTTATAATCTGGTATTTGTCAGATACACATAAACATACCTATAACAGGAATTCTTGTGTCACTATGATAAAAGGGTGTTTTTCAACATTTTTAGATCCACTATTTAACCAGGCATCCACAACCACAATTATTTACTTCTTTGACATCATTTTTTTTTAACTGCTGTTGCCACAAAGTGTCACTGATTTCATATTTAACTTGCTCTAAAAAAAAGACACCAGCTGGTTCTGTAGTCTTGGAGAGTGTGGCTTAAACCAACAATATCTGGAAAGTGTAAACATGTCTAAAAGCTATTTTATATGACTGAGTACAATTTACGATTGGTTTTATCTCCTGTAGGTTAATCTTGGCAGGATAAAACTAGGTTAAAGTATAAAAAATACATTCAAAAATAAGTAGGATCCATATTTTAATTAATCTTAACCCAGATTTATTTTGTGGAGGGATTCTAAAATACCAGTGTGACAACTTTTAAGTTAATATTTACATACATTAATAGATGGAAATTGTATTCGAAATGTGAAATCAGTCTGCAGAAGGGAGACACAGACCAGTTATTGTTCACCACCACCTTGTGCAATAATTTTCCACATAGTATAGGATTTTGCAGTTTTGTCTACTGATCTTAAAAAAAATGTGGGAACACATTTATAGGCACAAACAAGCACACACAAACACGCTTAGTGAACACAGGATGGCTACAATTTGGTAAACAAAATACTAATTTACTCAATTTCCAATCTCAGATGGATGATGATAGTGAACATGGATTTTATGGCTTTTTCAAGCCAGATAAAACAGTCATTTAGCTGAAGCTTAGTTTCAAATGAAATAGATGGCCCAAAGAGCCCTTCATTACATTACTGCTTGTTCTAATGGGTTTTGATCCAGTATTTTGGATCTTGAATTATTTTTCTTTCATTTACAGTGTCATGCTCTGTCTGATCCTCACTACATAATGTCTGGTAATTGCATTCAGCACTGATGTCGTTAAATAGGAAATGTGATTCTACAAAATATAAAAAGCAATAAGTTTGTGCTCATTTTTGCTGTGGCGTCAAACCACTGAATTTAAATAATCTGTTTAGGTTCTATACTTATTTATGAGCCAAAATATTATTACTGTTTTCAATTTCCATGTTTCGTTTCACTACTTTTTATTGATATGATATTTAGTTGTATGAGGATGTTTGTGGGGTCATTAATGCCCAAATTTGATGAATTATACACGTTAATGTGAAAAAGAATTGATAGGCACAACATGGATATGAAATTGATTTCTTTCAACTGTTTTCTTTATTCTGTAATAATCATGCAGGAAGCAGTGAGAAGAAAAGTTTATTCAGAAGTTGCTAACAAAAACAAAGACCTACACATATAAGCAAATAAATTAAGCTCATTTTATTCCGGTTTCAAACTCCCCAGTATGACATTCTTCCAGAAATTTTATGTGATCTACTAATTATGAACAAGCTTTAATGTTGTGAAAGTCTATGCCTTGGATGGCAACCTCAAGCAAACACATCTTTAATTTAAAATATGGAGCTGGATGAGCTCCAGCTCCATATACAATCACACCAGAAGATGATTTTTATTTTTTTATTTTTTCTTTTGGAATTGAAACCAGCATAAGCGGAAGCAGTGGGCGGGAGGAGGGGTTAAGATTAAAAATATACTATTTTGCAATAAAAGTAGAAGTCAAGCGATGCAAATTATAAACCTAGAACGTGTTTCTTAATTACTGAAAGATTGTTATCGTCTTGCCCACCATTCCACTATCAGGGGTGCCCAAAATCGGTCCTCGAGGGCCGGCATCCTGCATGCTTTACTTTTCTCCCTGGTTTTACACACCTGCATCAAATGATGACTCATTAGAAGGCCTAAGCAGAACACTAACTTACTGATGAGGTTGTTAAAACCACTAGGGAGAGAACTAAAACATGCAGGATGCCGGCCCTTGAGGACCGACTTGACACCCCTGCACTAAATGGTTTGGTTCGCCTACCGTTTTATAACCGCGGGTGGGGCTACCAGGAGCTAGCTGCTGTCTAGTCTGTATCTCCATGAACAGAACTTACTCACTGAGGAAACCGTAAAAAAAAAGCCAGTAAGTCATTTATCACAGCACTTGTTCAACGAGCTCAAGTTTGTAAGATGAAAGGTGAAATTTTCCCTGCTTTGCACAAAATCAGCCTGTTTTTAACAGGTCCCTTGTTAGGCTAATAGCCTAGCTTATGATGGTTAACAAGCTCAAACGAGTGATAAAGCATCAGTGACGGCGGAGAAAATGGGAGGAAAATGAGGAAATTAAAATAAGTCTGAGTGGAGGGAGGAAAGCGAGGAGGAAAAAGAGAGATTATTGAGGAGTGAGGGGAAAAAAGAAGAGGAAATAAAAAGCAGTCCCAAATGATAGCATACTTGAACACTGTTGGATCTCTTGGCCTATCTGAACCAGTAGGCATTCACCTTTCATTGATTTGTACAAGCTTTATCTAAATTTGTGGATTGTTTAAAAGGTGCACTGTTAGTTTTTCTAAAATATTTACTGAGCTTTATGATTCTATGACATACTTTCTGCACCACTAAACTGTTGAAAGAAGTCATTCCTGTCATGACATGACGTGATGAGTGTGAACACCCAAAGAAGCTGTGCATGCATTAACAGTTCTATTTTAATCTTAGATCTGATGAACAACACCCACATAATTATTTATTGTTATATATGATTTGCATAATAATTGCACATTTTTAATTGACAGTATATTCTCTGAAGCTGATTACATTGAAAAACTGAAGACTGGATTCCTCAGATCGAGTTCTAATTTACCAACCAAACACTTTGCCCTTGTCAATATTCATGATTGAGTGCAGCAGTTTAAAACAGCTCATTGTCCTGTTTGGCCCACCATTAGCATTTTTCATTACAGATCATTCAGGTAAATGATCACCTAATTCATCAACTGTCAGCTCCCCAATCATGTAAGGCTAACATTTGAATTTGTATACCATTACAAATTATCTTTTAGCTTTTGCGTTCATACCATCATTTTGGTAAGTTTGAGAATGCACAAAGTCTTTCATTCACCCGTTAATTTTTGGAATGACAATGACTTATTCTCTCACATCTCGCAGTTTGATTCTGGAAGTGTGAATGTTGTGGCAAATTAATCATCATTGATTAGAGGTCTTGTGATTTGAATCCGTCCCGTCTGCAGATTAGTAGCCATTGATCTGTGACAGCAATTTCATGCTCGTGGTCCACCAATTTTCCTGGTCAATATGTGAGGCCTCTGTGGAGCTTTTTCATGACCTCCTCGTTTATCAAACTGCCACCTGCAGTGACATTTACCCTCTCTTTGGATGTCAGGAATGAAAAAAATCAAATGAAACCTATCTGTCCACAGTAATTTTTTTATGATTTATATTGACCTGGAATATTGAGTATTATTGCAATACTGTACATGGGATTTGGTACACCCTAGGGAAAAGAAGGAAAACATAAATAAGAATATCTGCTAATTTAAAACTGTCTTCTGAAAAGTTATTGTCCGATTGGGTGGATTGCATAAATGGTGTTTTACTCTCACAATAAGATGTAGATTGGTGAAAAACAAGTGTTCCAATCCTTTGTGCACAACTGTATTCATATCTGCAGGTGTTCAAACACTGTGCCCACTCTTGGTCCTTTCAGGTGTCCATGCTTGGAAATTGTCACTTTGTAAAAGCATTTTTTTTTCTGGATGCAGTAAAAGATCCCAACTCAACTGGGGAAAAGTTGCAAATTATGCAAATTATTATTTTTGTTATTGTAAAAGACGGATGTCTCACACAGATAGGTGCCCTCTGTAATGTTGGAGAAAGGGAACACATTAAATTGTTCTAGCTCATCACATCCTGACAGTATTTCATGAGTTAAATTGATTGAGCACAGTCTTGGTTTTCTTTGTGAGATTACACAGAGGATATTGCAGAAAGGCTGTTTTCCATCACAGAGAGGGCACAGAGGCTCCTAAGCAGATGGAATTCTTAATTAACACAATACCACAGACTGTGTTAAAACACTTGCAACTCTAATGGGAGCAATCACAAAGCAGAACTGTAATATGCAGCTGATCAGTCCATTATGCAGTATATATGTTAAATTACCCGGGGGGATGGTTTAGATTTGTTTTGTCAAATGTTTTAAGTTTATGACAACCCTGTTGGGGGTTTTGAGTTTTACAAGTTTTGTTGTTAGATTGTGCTGTTAGTATTTAACTAAAGCCAAAAGAGTTTGTCTTTATGCTCATCACACAAAGAAGGAAGGAAATTGTACAGCTTGGTGAATACAAGTAAAATTACTACTTGCCATGGTTTCGATTGTAATTAATGTTGGAAAATTGAGTACTCTGTGTCATGCTGCAATGGTGCGGGTCACAGCAATTAGTAGGCTTGGAAAACAACATGGACACGGAAAATGAAATCTGCCAGTGTTTATTTTGCACTGCGGGACTCTGTATGAACAAACAGAATGATACTTAAACTCTAAAGAGATATTTCTTTAGTAAAAGTCCATTTCAAATACAATGTTGCACATAAATAGTATTCACAACACTTAAATACTTTCAGAAAACAACCCTGATTCAGTTAGCCTGCCATTGCCTTATTATGCAGTTCTGCTTGATTCAAATAACGCCTAGAATGAGCTGAGAGAAAGCATAATCTGTGAATTCAAGTCAATAATTTCACCATTGACTTGAATTCCTCAGGCAGAATTTCAACTGGGCCAATCAGATGGAGAAGTTATGAACGATGACGTCATTTTTCTGCCATGTTTGAAAATTGTCTGTAGTTTTAGCAATAGCACTGGAGGACGTAAACAAAGCTGTTCAGTCTGTCGGTTACTCTTCCAAATGTCAAATTTACATAGCAGCGCCTCGTTCAGGTAGGCACTTTTGTCATCGCAGTGGAGGATGGTTGTTTACAGCGCAGCCAATTTCTGGTAAGCTTCATAGCACTGAAGTGGCGTATTACATGCATCACTGACAAATGTTAGTGATTGGGTAAAGTTTCAAACTTCACCACTGTTAAAGCCTCCAGGAAACAATCATTTCTCAACAGCTGAGAGTCCATATATATTAAGCAAATGTCATAGAACAAAGGGCTGGTATTACCAGGCTATGATTCAGCACTTAACCCATATTTATGACAGAATCTTTAATCTTTGCTATTTATCACAGCATGATTTTTTTTTCTCTGTATTCTACTAAAGGCAGGATCCAACCATCCATTCATTCTCTAACACACTTATTCTTGCAGGGTCGTCAGGGAGGCTGGTGTCTACCTCCAGGAGTCAACGGACGAGAGACGGGCTATCGGGACATCTTGCCAGTCTATTGCAGGTAAAGGCAGGATGTAGATATATGATCTCGCAAAACACTTGTCAGCTTGCTATATCTATCAAGACATAAGCATTTAAGACCTTTCCAAAGCACATTGTTGAGCTTCAGTTAATCAACTATTGATCAAATGTTAACATTTTATATCATTGTTTGAGTAAATTTAACATTATTGAAATGTTCATACATTTGGAGTCCTTTCATTTATCTTCTTTGTATTCCTGGGCAATAGTTACATTTACAAATTAAAACCATGTGTTTTGACTTGTAATCTATGCACACGGTTATGAGTAAACCATTCATTCTTCCCACCTGAAAAACAAAAGATTTCACCAACATTTTGTAAATGTTTGAAAATGTACATATCATAACAGCAGTAACATTGGACTACAACACCAGTGCACTGAAAAACACTGGGTAAAACCATAGTGCTGTTTAGACTGGGCTTCTTGGGTTTTTTCCAAGACTCCTCATGTAGATTTGGGTATGCAATAATTAATAGACTATAACATTTTCTCAAAAACATCGTTATCCGTTTCACTTGTTTCTGAAAACCCATCTTTAACGAGAACAGCTTTAAAATTATATTTAGCAGGTATAACCACATCATTTGTAAGGGTAAAATAAAATAAGAAGTGATTAAGGGTAATTTAAGCCATAATTTCTTCT